CATTACACGTGTAAAGAATCAAAATGAATGCGCCATAGATCAATAAAACGGAATAGCCTCTGCACGGACAATAATTAAATGATTTTAATTACTAAACCATATTGTTGATGAAAATAATAAGAGAAAAATACAAGTGGTTGTTGTTATTTATAATGTATCGATGATTTTGAAAAAGTAACAAATTAATACCACTGTTTTAAATAGCAGCCGTTGAGCTGCGCGTGCTGAAGCTGAAGAGCTGAATGAACATGGTAAACTGAAGCGTTTTGCTGGCAGCTTATTTAACTCAAGGAAATGCATCCTGAGATTAATATTAATACAACATAAACATAATATTACAACTTATATATGTACAAAATGATGCAGTTCTTGCGTGCTATAGTCAGAATGTGTGATCCTGTTGTGGATGCGCTCTTCCCATATCAACGCGCTGAAACACGGCAACTAAACCCAAAGAATTCACAATGTTTTATTATAATAATGTTCTCATTAGAATGTTATATACATGACATTCCCAATCATAGTTATTAATGTTGTGCACTGCTGTTTGGGCTGCGTGTGCTGAGCTAAAGATGATCACCGGTAAACTGAAGCGCTCTTTTTAACTTAACCAAACGCATTCTATATGAGATAAATCAGATATACATCAAATAAACACAATATTACAATGTACAATTGCACAAAAGGCTGCAAACGAACAGCGCGCATCTGAAGTGTCTCTGAAGGAAATAATGCATTATTTATCGGCTTTAAGATATCGGCCAAATTTTCTTATCAGGCCGATACCGATAACAGAAAAAATGAGCCGATATGGGCCGATACCGATATGGTGGCCGATATATCGTGCATCCCTACAATATTAGTTTTTTTTTAATATTAATACATTATTTTTATATGTAATTGTTTTATTTAATATGTATACAATCATTATAATTAAATAATAAAAAAGTAATTTACATTTTTTATTTTATTTTATATACATTAAAAATATCTATATTTCCCACAACAAAAAAGAAAAAGAAAAAATCCTAGGCCCAAGTAAATCTAAAAAATATGTAATTTTTCACTCATTAAGCAAAATATAATGACATATTTCTCACTTTTATTTTATTTTATTTATTTTTTTTGTGGTGAAATATAGCCTAGACATCTTCATCAACAATTTTAGCTTTATGTGCAATGTGAACAATTGTCATTTCCACATTATAGGAATAATGCTTTCATTTATTGTGTGCATGTTTCAGTAGTGCCAGGCTGGCGGTTTCAGATCCCTGAGCTGTTCGAGTCAGGCTGACTTCAGTGGATTTGCCACTATGGGTTTTATTTCCCAGGGTAGCATCATATGGCCCGTGTTACATCACAGCTTTATCAGTGACTCATAGGTTATGCCTTAGAGAACCGAACTCTCTTATGAAAAAGCATGACTGAGTCTACACACATCACAATGCCTGGATCAGTAATATGGACAGATCGTATCACTCTGTCTGCCTCTGTCAAGTTGTTGCGTAATTGTGGGTCAATCTGACACCTCCTCATATCTTTGTCCTCATCACTGGCTTCATGTAACCGCTCAGTATGCAGTCAGTAGCTCATCTTTCTCTTTCGTTTTCTCTGCCTTGTTTTTCTCCCTCTTCCTCTGTTTACCTGTCGGATAGAGTAGTTTTATTCATTAGGAGGCTCACCCTGTTCTCCCCTAGGATTTGTCCTCCTCAGTCAAAACACGAAAACATTTTGAGTCGCGTCGTTGGTGCATGTGTTTTAGACATGCAGATCAGCACCAAAACATTGCTCTGTTTGTTTAAGCAAGACAAAAACGCAATTTAAACAAATGATGTGAGTTTGGGGTGAAAGTAACCGCTCGTGTGAATAATGAAAAATGAGAGGAGTCACTGGGAAATAATGGCACAGAAATGACACTGTGCTTTAATATGACAGAAAGCTGCTGCATTTTGTAGTATTTTAAACATAGTTAATCAAAGGTACTTATACTACTCCCAAAATCAAAACAGCTTTTAACTTTTTCAGATGTAGAAAAATGTCTTATGTACGGCACACAAGTTTAAGTTAGTTAATTTAATTTAGTTTAAGGTGACATATCATGAAAATCTGACTTTTCCAGGTTTTAAGTGCTGTAATCAGGTCCCTGGTGCATCTACCAACCAAGGAAACATGAAAAAGATTAACCCAATCACTTTGTTTAGGTAAGCCTTTTTTTGCAAGCATTGGAGAAAACGAGCGCGTCTGATTTAGCTCCCTTGGTGACGTGGCAAAGGGATCTCATTATAATATTACCGCCCCTTAATCTGTGAGTTTCCACCCACTGCACCCTCATTTTGATTTCGCAAGTAGTGATGGGAAGTTCGGTTCTTTTCTGCGAACCAGTTCTTTCGGACAGTTCGATTCAATAAACCGGTTGAAAAAACCGGTTCACCGGTTCTTTTACGCTCGACGTAATGACGTCATTGGCGATGACGTAATGGCGTTAAGTCTATCGCGGGCTTAACACATTCAAATATAAAGTCAGTAATCATAACATCAGTCAATTAAAACATCATTATAATCTGATACGTTTCTTACAATTTGGATTTTTGTATCTAAAGCATCAACACATATACAGGCAGTGATCTGCAAACTAGGATGTTTTACAGTTATGACGTCAATAAATTAGTCTTCATCAGCGCAGAAACTATGCTCCACTTACTATGTATAATCCATTACGGTTTATTTGTAATTAAGTAAACTTACATTTCGTCGGATTGCCCTTCATTCAAGTCTTCGGTTTACCCGCGCTTTTAACATTAGCACAGAATCAGTTGTCCAAAAGAACCAGTTCGGTTCAGACGTGCTGTGTCAGTCATAGTAGGCAATCTGTTCGGTAGCTTCACGCTGAATCGCGCATGCGCAGTATCATCAGCTCATCGGTTCTCAAATCGGACGTGTCCGAAAGAAACGGTTCTCGGTTCAGTGTACTGGTGATCCGAAAACCGATGCAACCGGTTCTTGACTCGAGAAGGAGAACCGCTCCAGCAGTGGGCTTGTATGTTCGTTATCCGGCTGCTCTGCTCGTGTTCATCTTCAGTTCTCTCTTCACAGCAGTTCAGTCAGTGTACTGTTTGAGTAAATAAATTACTCCGGGATATTGGTTTATTTCGACTCAGAGGGAGTGTCAGCCATGTTAAAAAAGTGAATAACTTAAGTAATTTGTGGATTAATGCTTACTGGAGACGCGAACCGTTTCAAATGATTCAATCCGATTTGGTGAACCGGTTCAACCGGTTCACTAAGAAGAACCGGTTAAATCGAACGATTCGTTCGTGAACCGGACATCACTATTCGCAAGCGACAGCGGTGTACCAGCTCTAATGCCATGGTGAAAGTTTGAGCAAAACATACTAACTGTTCTGTCTTTGTCTGCACAGACGAGCACAGAACACTATTTAGAGTCCCAGCCTCAGAGGAGACAACAGAGCAGTGGATTTATTGATTTATTTAGTGTGTATTGCTGCTGCCACACAGATCTAAAATAAACACGCGATTTATTTCCCAGCTGTTTACCTTCACAGACATAACCAACTGTTTTTGTAACTCGTGTGTTTTTAACGTAAACTTGTGTGTGAATGATAACTTAGTTTAGTACTCACATGCTGTGACAGCCGCTTTCTGTCCGTGTGCTTCGGATATGTGCGCTCAGAAAACCTTAAATCTGAAGTTTAAACTCATTTTAAATCAGGTTTAAAATGCATGATTTCAGTGTGATAAACATGAAAAGCAGAACCAAAACAGATGTTTTTAGCAGGTTCGAGCTGTAATGGCGCAGCTCTATTCTGGAAAAGGGGGCGGGGAGCAGCAGCTCATTTGCATTTAAAGACACAGGCCTGAAAAACAGCTTGTTTCTGTTTCCATTCAAAATAGGCATTTTCAAAATTATATAATAAATGATCTGTGGAGTATTTTGAGCTGAAACTTCACAGACACATTCTGGGGACACCAGAGACTTATATTACATATTGTAAAAAGGGGCATAATATGTCACCTTTAAGTGGTATAGGGCTTAAATGCAAATGCTTACAGTGAGAAAGCCATGGCATCAAAATACTAATTTATTATACTTGAAAGTGCTTTATTAAAAAAAAAAAATAAATATATATATATATTAATTTATTTATTGCTATATTTGCATTTATTTTAATTTCTATAATATCTATTCATTTCTGTATTATTTATAATTTCATTTATATTTCTACTTTTTTTCTTTCTTCCTTATCTTTAACCTGTTTTTGTCTATTTTTATTAGCTTTAATAAGTAAAAAATGTTCAGTAAGACATGTTGAAGAGGTATTTACTGTATAATCATGTCTTTTGTCAAACACTAAACAATAGGAAGCATTTATTTTCAGAACAAAAAAAAATGTAAACACGAGCCTCACGTTTAGTATGATGCTACTTTACATAAATCTTTTCTACTTTTATGGAGTGAATCTGACTGAATCTCATCTCAGAATGTTTGGCTATGGAGTCACAATAGTTCAGTGAGTCCATCCTGCGGGAGCCGACGCAACCCCTCCACCTCCTTTCTGATACACTATGACCACTGCTGTGTTTTAATAAGCTGGATAGATCCCAATATTCACCTCCTTTTGCTGCTAATATTCACCCTGTGGTTAATTGGTAACTCCATCCGCCTGGATGACTTGGACTGTCGCCCCCAGCGACTGTGCCATTCTTTGTGCTTATTTAAATAACACCATATTGCTAATTGATTTCATGTCGGTGCATTAGCAGGCTGTTGCACAGACCCTGGCTGATCTTTGACGCCTTTTAATATTTCACGACCACGCTCCGCTTTTAATTTTAGCACCCTTTATTCACGCATGGCTCGTTTCGTTTTTGTGCACCGACTCATATGAGCAGATGAACTTGTTGCAGATAGGTTTGTGCGTTAGCATGGCATTGGGGGGATCATTTGATTGGCATTTCATAAAGTATTGTGCAGTGCAATGATGCCTAAAGGCTCTCATGTCACCTTTATGAACGTATGAATTAGTCAGAGGACTAGTGGAGCAGTTAGCGTCTATCCAGGTGAATGCCTTCCATCCTTTATGCAGGTGGAAACCAAAGATGGCTTTCCCGAATAACCTGCAGCCTTTTAATGGGGCCCCTTTTGCTCTCTCCTTTGTGAAGTGAGACTGAGAGGGGAGACCTCAGAAACAGCTGGTTTCAGATGGTTGACCAGTGATTCTCATCGGTCAGACAGGCTTGTGTTTTGGCCAGTGTTGGACAGCATTGCTGTGTTTTGAAAATGACGATTTAAGATGAAATCTCCCAAATTGTATTGCTCTGAGGTTGCTTTTTAATGATCCAGGATGGACAACTGATATTTAAAAAACAATTTTTTCCCCCCTACAAGTTAATGTTTTGATTATTTTTTTATTTTTATCCATATATTCGAATATTGATTTCAATAGTTTTTTTTCCCCCAAATGGTTTCATATATATATATATATATATATATATATATATATATATATATATATATATATATATATATATATATATATACACACACATATGTGTTTTGAAAATGACGATTTAAGATGAAATCTCCCAAATTGTATTGCTCTGAGGTTGCTTTTTAATGATCCAGGATGGACAACTGATATTTAAAAAACAATTTTTTTCCCCCTACAAGTTAATGTTTTGATTATTTTTTTATTTTTATCCATATATTCAAATATTGATTTCAATAGTTTTTTTTCCCCCAAATGGTTTCATATATATATATATATATATATATATATATATATATACACACACATACATATGCATGAAAGACACATCTTCAAGTAAATTCCAGCTACCTGAGATTTCACATACTTCCTGCTCTAGATATTGTACAGTTGTTATCACACGTACTTTCCTGTTAACTCTGTCTTTTATGACTTAATGGAACAATTGCTTAGCAGCAATCAAACGTCTTTTGGAAAGGACACTGACAGTAGCTTGTCTTTCCCATTGGTCCTTATGGTACATTGATTGTCACAGGGTTTATTTGCACAGGTATGCTTAAACCAAAGCACCCAGGGGCTCTAGTGAGAAAAGTAATTAAAAGACCAGTGGAAGATGAATGTCGTTCTTCTGTACAATGCATATGATACGCCTGTTAGGTTTCATGATGACACAGAGCTTCTCATGTCTGAGGCTCTAACTATCTGCTAAAGAGAAAGTGAAAAATTGTGGATTTGTATTTACCCATGAAGAACAGAGGTCTACCATCCATGAGGTCAGTCATGTCACTGCCCACCCAACTTGTTTTGACACACCATGCACAGCTGATAGAATATCAATCTCTCTGTGTGTTTCAGTCCATGTGTGTGGGACAACAGAAACTATACCCACCTAAACCTTTACATCATTGCACAGAACCTGTTTGAAAACCCAGTCATGGTCAGACCATTTATGTATCCACTCTAATAGACCCTCTGTCCAGCTGTGGCATTACACAAGAACATACAGTAGGTGTACAGTATTGGCCTTTATCAAGAGCAGGGATCATTTCATGTAAGTGGAACCCGATCAGTGACCCAATACTGATTACAGTGCATCATTCTCTCGTGCCATGTAAACTATACTGGCACTGGTGTCTTAAGAACATTAGGATTGGCCAAACTGCCACTCTACAGCTGTCACTGTGTGAATGGTGAGATAACATAAACTCACGTACCATATGGCTGAAAGCACTATAACTGCACTCATAGTAAATAAACCCCGCACAAAAACCAAACACATGCATGAGACACATCTGACTCATGTGCATTAATATTCCTGGAAGATGTTTCCTTAAGTGAGTGTCAAGCAGGTATACAATGTCAACTACCATGCTACTAATTTTTCATGTTGTCTGAAAGAAATATCTTATGCTCAGCAAGGCTGCACTTATTTTATAAAAAATACAGTAAAACAGTAATATTGGGAAATAATATTACAATTTGAAATAGTTGTTTTCTGTTTTAATATTTTTTTAAATGTAATTTATTCCTGTGAAGGCAAAGCTGACTTTTCAGTAGCCATTACTCTTACATAAAACTGCTTGATAAAACCATGATACATTTATTTCAGGATATTTTGATTAATAGAAAGTTCAAAAGAGTGGCGTTTATTTGAAATAGAAATATTTTTATAACATTATAAATGTCTTTTGCATAACTTTTAGTCCATTTAATGCATCCTTACTGAATAAAGGTATTAAAGTGCCCCTATTATGCTATTTGAAAGGTTCATCATTTGGTTTTGGGAGTTTTGGCCCCAACAGCAGGTTTACATGCATGCAAGGTCAAATTTAATTTTGTGTTATTTCTTGGCGACTCTCAAATGATTCGTTCGAAGATTCATCTTTCCAAACCTTTCAGCTTTACAACTTTGCAGACTGTTTACATTCACATACAGCTACATTGCACACTGCATGAAATGTAATTTTCAAAAATCCATAATAGGGGACTTTTAATTAAAAGAAAAAAAAACATCATACAGACCACAAACATTTGAACAGTAGTGTATCTCTCTCTCCCCGTGTTTGTTTTTGCAATAAGCATAACATAATGTATATATATATACATGTATGTTTTGTATGTGCCTTCCTTAGGATGAGGTGTACAGATCCACCACTAAATGCTTGATTGAAGGTCTCATATCAGGGTACAATGCCACTGTTTTCGCCTACGGACCCACAGGTCAGTACAGACACATTCATACCAAGGTCTTGGCAATATGTCAGTTTTTTTTTTACCGGATTTAGTAACCATGTTAATTTCACTGAAGAAATAAAACTTTTTTTAATCTTAAGTCAAGAATTAAGATTTGTAATGCAGCTCCTGATTTTTTGATTGATTGATTTTGCAATTTTGTTATATCTTGGTAATTGTATTACAGTCTTTTAATAGTGCCTTTGATTTAAACTTAAATGACTAAAAAAAGGCTTAGAGCTAGGGTTGGGTACCGAACCCCGGTACCAATATGGCACCGGTACCTATGTAACCGTTATGTACTAGAACCGAATCCGAACGCAGATTTCGGTGCCTCATTTCGGTGCCATGCCTGAGCGATCGATTGAAATATTTGTCTGGTTCTCCGAAACGGACGTTATGGCACAGCCACGGGCAAAGTAGTTTGGAGTCCGAGTGAAGGAAAAAAATTAATGGGAGGGGGAAATATGAATTTGTATCTATTATCCACTTTTTTTTGTTCTTCTGTGGGACTAAGAAGTTACATAGCATTGTTTCAGCTTGATGAGCTCAGTACTATCTAGCTCATGGTTGCATTGCATATTACAAAATAGCTTCTTCACATGGATTAGAAAACAAGTGATTTTTTTTCTCTTTCATGTAAAAATGATTCTTTTACTTTGATGCTTTTAATGTGGAATCTTCATTTTTCAGTGACTTTGGTTTTTGGGTATAATGTGGACATAATCATCATGCTTAAACTAAATTATTTTATATGCATGGCTGGTGTTCCTTTTTGCTGTTTTTGTCAAAGTTTATTACTTTATTTTTATGGTTTTATTATAATGCTATATCTTAGAAATGTGTGCTTGCACATTCATTCATGTTATGAAAAAACTAAAACAAAGCCACAGCAGATTTAACCGTTAGATCTCTGAGCAACATACAGCAGTTGAGTGTCATTCCTGAATGAATCTGTAGAGGGGTTGATTCAATGGCTCACTCATAGTTCCTGCATGAATCAGTGATTTTAAACGATTCAATTCAGTAAAAGATTAAACTTAAAGGGATAGTTCACCCAAAAATGAAAACTACCCCATGATTTACTCACCATCAAGCCACCCTAGGTGTATATGACATTCTTCTTTCAGACGAATACAAACGGAG